ATACGTATTTGGTGTTTTTTATCACTCTTCAAATGCCCTGTTAGCGGCTTTTTTCCACTGAATTCAAATTGACCTACCGATAAAAACATTGGTGGTAATTCAACATTTTACCTCCAATGAAAAAATTACTTCGGCAATTGTTATTTTGCCGTACTACTTCTGACGGTTTGCCTAATTCGAATTGTGAGAGTGGTGTTCACACAACGGAGCAATAAACATACACATTTCCTGAAACAAATAACCGTCTATATCGAATATATTTTTTCGGAACGCTACCCAGCATCTGTCAAATTCAAACATTTGAAATTACAACCATTCCAAACAACTCTGCGTCAACCGAACTGTAAATAACTATCTTATGAGAATTTCGATTTGTGTATTGCTTTCACATTAAGCACGTGATTTTGGGAGGAAAACGCAGAGCTGACACTTCTCCTTCATTTCATGTAACGCAACACAACACAACAGACTCATTTGTTATTGTGATTTGTATTTGTTTACTTTGATAATATATATAATTCCGTTATACGACTGTATTGAGTTCCTACATCGACACAAGTTGAACATGAATTTCATCAAGAAGTGAAATTTGGCACGTTAATATATTGAAGTTCGCATCGATTGTGGAAAGTTGTCAAACTAAATTCAACTTGTTGTGCTAAATCGATGCTGGTTGCATTCATGTTGATCTGGGCATTTGGAAAGGCAAGTCAATCTTTGTGAATATTGTTCAATTTACAGTGATTGTTTGGTTTTCTTTTTTGTTCAAATTAAGTTGTATAATCTAATCTGAATGATTAAAGAAAATAAAAATGCATTTCTGTTTTGTTTATAGTCGGGAAAAACCATTTACCAAAAAACCCGACTGTCTTTATTTGACTTTTTCTTACGACTGACTTACTCTTAAACACAAGTAATGAATTTTGACATTTTAAACTCGAGCGTCAGAGACATCTGACGTTCGATACAGTGCCAGCAAAAACATACATGTTTTCCTATACAATGAAATCTGATTCTAAATCTTAAATGTCTAACAATTTTCCATGATTCTTAATTATGTGTTTTAATTGCTGTTCAATTTTTCTGCTTCTACTGGAACGATGCAGATTTTCTGTACTTGTCTCGAAAGCCTGGAATTTGCTGTCTGTACTACGACTGAACGAACTAAACTTGTTGGATTTTCTGTCCACTTATCAACAAATCGAATCATGTAGCTAACGATATTGAATAACTTTTCCAAGCGATTCGAATACTCGAACAATGAAACTCTTTCCCTTGTACTTTTTGGATTGATTGTCAACTATTTCGACATTCAGTAAGCACAAACACTCTCATCTCACTCTGTACGTCATCTAAAACTTCGTTCAATGAATTTCTCTTTGGCCACTCTGATTTTGGCAGCTTTAGCCAGTTAGGACCATGCAGCCATAATTTGTTGCCTTTAAACCCAGATGGTAGCAAACCTCTACTCAACAAATCAGCTGGATTCTCTTTTGTGTTGACGTAGTGCCAGCAATTTACATCTGTATTTTTCTGAATGGATGCAACGCGATTGCCAACAAACACTTTCGAATCTCTGAATCTGGCCTGTACCCAACCATCAGTCTATACGAAATCTTTCTATCTGTTTAATTCCACTCCAATATTGATTGAATTTTTCCTTTACGTCTGGAGACACTTTCTTATCCTATTTGCTGCCTAACTTCCATAAATCCTGAATGATCATCCTTCCGTGAATTGTCATCGGTGTAACCATTTGGATCGTACAACTTGCCCACGTAACTGGCAATTTTTCTTCTCGTGAGAACTTCTTTCGAATCAGGCGGTGTTTTCACTACGTACGTAAACTGATCATTTTTAATCAGCCATTTCAAACCCAAAATTGATGAAACTTCCTCATCTGTAAACATCGCCGATGATTCATTAAAATCGGATTGCATTCTCTCCATAACCTGTACTGAATTTGATCTCCAAAGCCTGCGCCCGATAAAACTGCTTGCACGTCTTTTGCTAATTTGATCACTTTTTCCTCATCGTTTTGACGTGTCGTGCGATCGTCCATATAGTAATCATTCTCTATTGCATCTGACGCTTCAGCAAACCTTTCTCGTGCCTCACATGCTGCCTGTACTACTGACCTTACTGCTAAATGAGCCGATGATTTTAGACCAAAGAAACTACAGTCAACCAGTACTCTCTCAGCTGAACATCCTTTTCCAATTTTCTTTCCAAAGACATGAAACGACGTAAAGCAATTTCCCTTTAAAGCTGTGAGGGATCAACTGGCCGAGAGAAAGAAAGAGATGAAATCGTTTGACACAAAATAATTTATTATTCCTTTTCTTTTACTTTTAAATATATATTTTTTTTACAAATACAACGAGCGTCACAAAAAATACAAAATACAAATTCACATTACCATTGATGTGTGTGTGTGTGTGTGCATGAATGAATATATGCGTGTGTGTACTAGTTAAATTTAAATGTGTGTGGAAGCGGGCTCGAAGACACGTGAAAAGTATACGGTAAAATACTAAATTCGATCGCAGAGAATGGCACAGTACAAATAACACGGTCACACTCTGGACACGTGCATACTAACTCTGGACGTTTATTTCTATGGGTGAGATTGAGAGTAGTGTATGTTTCATTGACTTTGTTACGAAAGAGAAGAGCAAGTTTCTGTCGACTTAAAAATGGTTAAAAGCGAGTATGTTCGTTTTTAGCGGGTCCCCGCGGTTTTTCACGGTTTCCGCGGAACTGATAAGAGATAACGACTTGATGTCTTCGGCAAAGTTGTAGCACTCGAAGTCTTCTATAATATTGCTGAAGTCAGTTATCTCTTATATCTTATCAGTTCCGCGAAAAGCGCGAAAAAAGATAAGAAAAAAAAAGTTCTATATAAAATTTGCTTTTTTATGTGCGCGATTTGCGCGCAACTGATAAGAGATAAGAGATAACTGTCTTCAGCTTAGTTATAGAAGACCTCGAGTACTACAACTTTGCCGAAGACACCATGTTGTTATCTCCTATCAGTTGCGCGAAAACCGTGAAGACCACAGGGGCTAGACGGTACTACAACATACTCTACTTTAACGCCAACAGAATCATCAGAAAACATACTCGCCTTTTCAAAAATATAAACCGAAGAAAAAACATACTCCACTCTCAATCTCACCCATAGATTTGTACCACTATTAATACTAGGCACGATAAAACGCACTCTGTATGTATGCAATTGGGCACACATTCGCCCCAGTACCAATCGTGTTCGATGCCACTCAGTCAAATACAGTTAACGAACTATTACAATCGTGAGTTTAAACCGCCACGAAGGGAGTTCTAACCGTTAATCAAATCATTCGTTTTTACCGCATAAGATCCCAAGCAGAATTCAAATGAACCGCCAATTTCTACAGCAGAGTTTTAAACAGTCGTAGTTTGGAGTAACCACAATGGTTCAACACGTCTTTCTAGAACTAGCACAAAAGGCACCAGTATATCGCCGATTTCAATTTGATTTTCTGACCGTTGCTATTAAAAGAAAAAGCAATAGTTTGAAAATCACTTCAAAACCAGGAATAATGCACAAATGAACACCAATGAACAAATGTACCGAATGAATAAACACTGCCGTGCCACTGTCTCTTATGTGATATCGGCATACGTTGCGCTGGCGAATCATAAGAGTCGAAGATGTAAAAAATCAGATCGAAATTCTGGATAAATTCCATTGTACGATGCTACACACGGTGAGTAGAAGAGAAACCAGAGAGAACGTACGATGCAAAACGCAGCAGCAACTATACATGCGCTCACTTCGTTTCAGTGAGAGACGGCCAACGAGAGATGCTTGAAACGGCCGACAATGAATATACACACAGCTCTCGCTCAAGTGGCGACTGTATACAGTGAACAATGAACAACAACACTTTACACACACAGAGACTTCGTCGTAGTAGCGAGCGCATTGATTCGGTTGTGCACAACAACAAATATACGTATGAACCATGTGTTTTGAATGGACCCAATCCATTCACGCACCTTTTACTCACCTTTTTACACACGTAGTAAATGTTGTCACAAAACAAAACAAAACTAAAATTGAATCGACTTCGTACAATAAGAAAATATTTTGTCACGAAATTATTGTTTGAAATCTTTGAATGGTTTTTTTCCGTCGATTCATTTTTAGGAAATTGGACGAACATAAAACAGGCACAAAATATTGATGCAAAGCATTTTTTCCAATGAACGTAAAAAAAACCAATTGAATTATGAATGCGAATGAATTATGCGTGTGGTGGCTGTTGAACGTCATTTGAGGCGACGCGAGCGCCCCCAATTTCAAAGGCGCCCCCAATTACACATCAATGTAATTTAACACTTCAAATCGGAACTACACAGCGCGCCAATTCGAAATATAGGAAAATATAATGTCAACAGCCGCACCATGGAATTATGCAAATAAATTTTAATGTAAAAAACTGAATGATATTTGAAAAAAAAAGGGAAAAGAATTCATTGAAAAAAAACACCTTGCACTGACGATAACACGTCCTACCGTGAGCCATGGTCGAATTGAAAAGAACTGTAGCTTGTTTACTTAAAATTAATACACGTGATTCGTTTGCTTAAAACTAGAGTGTCAATGCATGTGGCATGGTTGAAACTGAGGGCGGATGGAAATTTGACCGCGTGAAATAAGGCCGCGTTGTATTTTCTTCGGCGGTCTAAATTCATTCTTCAAGTGAAATAAGGCCGCAAACACAAAATGAATTTTGGCCGCGCGGTTTAATTTCATTTTTGACACGCGGCTTAACTACATTTTTGATAATGAATTTTGCCCGCGCGGTCTAATTTCATTTCCTGATTGCGGCCTAATTTGACTTGAAGAATGAATTTAGACCGCAACAAAAATTCATGTTGAGGCATGTTTTCTTCTGTATGCAGCATTGGAAAAAAGTTTAACAAAGGGATTTTTAGTCAGACAGCGTTCTTTCTGTCAGAGAAACATTTATATTTATTTAGTTTTTTGAATAAAAATCGAATTGCATTTATGCAATGTTCAATAACACTGTTGCATTTGTGCTTGGTTTATACGGCTAGATCGCGATATGCGCACCGTTTCATAGCAGTTGTCTTGTTGTGTGGAAAACGAAAGCCAAGGAGATCTGAAGAAGTAGAAATGCGAAATATTTTATAACACAAATATTTTTCCAAACACAAATACTAATGTATCACCTTTTTCAAACAAAAGGAAAACTCCTCTCGGACATATGATTTCAATCAACCTACTTCTCATTCCACCTCCAACTAACCCCACACAATAGCTCTCGGAATAGCGTCTTGCCACCTCACTTAAAACCGTTGTGACGAGATAATTATCTTTCAACCGAATACTGTCCGACACACCATTTGAATGAACCGTACTTATTTTCACTTTCAAGTGGGGCGGTTTCGGTGATGCGAACAAAGTGATTGTGGGATGGAATCCAAATTCTGGCTTCACTGATTGAAAGCATTTCACCAATTGCTTTATTGCCGTTTCCATAACTTGAACCAAACCAACACCATATACGGTTCGGTTTACTTCGGATGAGAAGTACACCGTCGCATCTAAATATAAATATTTATATGAATTAAAACTTCTCATAGGCAAAGTAATTATCATCAACATGCCTGCAGTTACAATCAGTGTATCGTCTCCTTTTTCCAATCGATAAACCTGAGCATCAGTTCTTAACTTCACGTTCTCCTGCGCCAAATCGTTATCGAGCACTGCAATCATGAATTCAATTTCTCGCGCCAGGTCCTGAAGCCATTTCTGTCTTCAAACCAACAACCAGAACAACCGGTTCACTTGAAGCTCAGAATGGAGTATTGGGAAAACGGTTAATGGAACATGGACATTTTTTCAAGTTTGTGAAATATTTGTTGACCTACGAATATTCAAAGGCCAGAGAATTCGATCTGTTGATAAAAAGTGGCGGTTCAACTGGACCAGCGAAAAAACGTTCATACAAGGTATTAATTTGATTTTGAACGAATTTTTTTAGAAGAAAAATTGTCAATTTTCAATGATTTTTACGATTTTTTCTTTCAATCTCATTAGCAACGTTCCGATAAAATTGCTGAAGCATCGGAGGAGTTGGAAAAAGGCAAAATAAGTGCGGCCATATTTCTTAATCGCATGGCTTATGCCGATAACAATATCTGTTCAGATTTGGATGATTTTTCATGTGTTGATGATCCCAGACCTGAAAATGATAATTGCGATTTATTCGAAGACGATGAAGAAGCAACACCAACTCCAAGTCAGTCAGATGCAGCCCTAAGACTGTCGCCTTGTTGTGTGTGCCTTGACAATGTGAGTCAAGTAACACTTTATCCTTGTGGGCATTTAAAAGTTTGTGAAGATTGCTGGACAAAACTTGTCAACACTTATGACGCCAATTTAGCGAAATTCCTCGAACGTGATTTAGAAGAGGAGTACCGACCGAAACTCAAATGTCCGTGTTGTAACACTCTCATTGAAAATTATTGCAAAACATTCACATAAGTATTTTGTTTTGTTTTTTTTTGACATTAAATTGTTCTTTTTATTCAAAAGAATTATCTTCTGTAAGCAACAATTTGTACAGACAAAAAATTTTCAAGTATAAGTTATTTTATACCAAAGCATAAATAAAATGCCCTTCGAAACTATTTGAACAAAGAATACAAAATTTTTCAATTTATGGGAAGAAATAACATGTGTTCATGCACATAGATTTTTTTTCTCTTCTCTCCTCTTCTTCCTTCACGTCGTCGCAATACACTTCATAGCTCTCTGGAAAACACGTTTCAACATGAAGTCTAGGCGCGGCCCAAATTCATTCCCCAAAATGAAATTAGACCGCGCGGTCTAATTTCATTTTCGGATTGCGGCCAAAATTCATTTTATGAATTGAATTTCATCCGCGCGGCCAAAATTCATTTCCTGATTGCGGCCTAATTTCAATCCATAAAATGAATTTAGACCGCGCGGTCTAATTTCATTTTCTGATGGCGGTCATAATTCACGCGGCCAAATTTCACCGAGCCGAAACTGAGACAACCATCTGACGTTTGGGACGACCTTTTGTTTTGAACGCCGTCGGCTAACGTTGATGTTCAACGACAAAGCCTATACCTGTAACATCTTCTTTCAACGGCATTTTGATGATAAAAACACTTTTTCTTTCTCTACGATGCGTGTTCACCAAATGCAACGCGACAAGTTCTTCTTCCTTTGTACGACTTGGCCGAGTAGGCACCTAATCCATTTCTTCCAATCAGCGCCTTCCAGTGGGTAACCATTGATTTCAATTCTAACCATTGCTGTCGGAATTAAAGATGCTTTCGGCTCTCCACAATAATCTGTACGCCTTATATATGATTTATCAATTTTATTTTTCTTTGCGACATTGTGTATTTTCATTTAATAATTTTTTCGATTTATCTGTACGATTTTCCTGTACTGCTGCCTTCAACGTATTAATCTTTTCTTTTTAGGCGGCTGCTGCTTTGAAATTCCTTGTCTGTACGATATCCAAATAAACCATGAGGGTATCCAAATTAACTCTGTACATTGTTCTTTGTCTGATTTCCTCATTTCGTGCAGCGAGTCTGTACATTTAATTACTAATTGCTCCTATACAAAAATTACTATACAAAAACTGTACAAATGAATTTCGCAATGTAACGCAAAATTGCTCTACTTTTTTGGTTGTCTTTGACTGTACACAAGAATGATGTTTTTTCACTGTACAATAGCAATCGCCGGCACCGTTGCTGCGTACGCTTGTCTATACGAAATCGTATGCAATAGCACGAAAGAAAATGTCTAACAAATGTTGCCTAACTTATTGCAATTGCTCTCACTGATGTGAAATTTTGCATTTAATACGAAAATTCTACGATCTATACTCTCTACAAAAAGAATTTCATACCATTGCAACATGCACGTTTTTTCACTATAAACAAGAACCACTGGCTCTGTTCATGTCTGTACTTTGCTGCACGTTGTGTGCAAAAACCTCAACACGACACAAAAAAAATCTAACAAGTTGACGAGAATAATTTCCAATTAAACGAATCCTAACGCCTATTTTCTTTACAAAATCATTTCACCAACGATTTTTCTGTACTTATTCGATATTTACCAAGAATAGAGACATCTGACGTTCGATACATAAGTAATTTATTAGTCAATGTTTTTAGGTAGAAAATACATAATATCTGATAATTTCCACCAAACGCTCAAAAATTGGTCCAAAACTCGAAATATCCCTACAAATGAGCGATATTTTCCACTAAACTAGCTGGAAAATAAGTCCACCTCATCCGCAGAGACACTTTAACAAAAATTCAAGCGAAAAATATGGAAAGATATACAGATATTTGCATGTAATGGGCCAAAATTCACAACAAATTGACCATTTTTGGTACCAAAGAGTGATTTTGAGCCAAAGAGGTAGATAGAACATGATTTTTCTGGGTTAGTATGTTGAGCAAAGTTGTCCAGTTATACGTTGGCTACAAAATTCCCGAAGATAAAGGCCATAAAAATTGGATACGCTGCGATTTATGGTTGAAAAATGGGCACTTTTGCGATTTTGAGGCCCTAGATGCATTTTTTTGGGTAAGTTCGTTCTGCATTTTTTTCTCCTATTCAATACCTACAACTTTGCTGAAGACACAAAAACAATATTTCCTACGCTTTACCGAGATATAGCCTTGTGAAAATGACGAAAAAGTGCTCAACACAGTGCAACAAAAAAAAAGAAAAGTCATAGGTCAGAGAAACGGCTAGAAAAGTTACAGTCTAAAATGTTAAATTTCCATAGATTATACTGCTGTTTTTTTCGATTGAAATATCAATTTGCTAGCTGAGCATCGGTGCCTAGGGTTTACTATGGTCCAAAACAGTGCGTTCAACACAATTTAGTACCGTCTTGCATCATTCAGAGTTGGTCATGACCATCAATAAGATTTTAGGCAATTTAGTACATTTTAGTACATTTTTAGCGATATTTTAGTACTTTCGGAACTTTGCCTGCAAAGCTCTTTGGCAGTAC